AATGAACAGTTTTTTCATTAATTGATTGATATTGATTGATACTTATTTTATTTTTATATAATTATCATTTATTTAATGATATTGTATTTTAAATTGATTTCTAAAATTATTTTTTGGATAAAATTTTTGAAATTATTTATAATAACATACTAACACACATAACAAATAATAATTTTTTTATTTTTTTATTATATTGCATTTTAAATTGATTTCTAAAATTATTTTCTTTTTGGATAAAAGTTCTAAAATTATTTATAATAACATATTAACACACATAACAAATAATAATTATATTTGTTTTTATATTTATGATATTGTATTTTAAATTAATTTTTAAAATTAATTTTTTATATAAAATTTCTAAGATTTTTTATAATAACATATTAATACACAACAACAAATAATGATTATATTTGATTTTATATAAAATTTGATTAGTTAAAAAGAAAAATCTGCATGTTATGTGCGGATATTCATCTAGTATATATAAAAATAATGCACTTTCAATATAAAGAAGAGGATTAGACTAAGGGGCATTAAAACGCACTAAAAGCATTCAATTATATAAAATGGGAAAATAGAGGTGATGAAAAAAAAAGGGTTAAAAAGGCGTGGGATGACTATTCCGAAAAAGCAAAGACAGGTTAATAGGTGGGTTAAAAAACATAAGCTTTTTTTATTTTTATTTTTTCTCTGGTTTCTAGTCGAGAGATAGGGGATGAAGTTAAACTACATTAAAATAAGAAACTTGTAAAATCACAGCCGCCGATATTTTTACGTTGGGAAGAAAAATGTCGTTGTTTTGATGTTTGCATCGATTGTTGGGTTTCGTTAACGTTAACCTACGATGCCGTTTCAGAGTTCACGATTTTCTTAGATTTACATAGGGGTCCCATTTACATATTACAGAAACAATAATTATGTTAATGAATTTTATCGTTCACAACAAATCCGTAAAAAAATTTTAGCGATAAGAGACAATAAAAGGAAGTAAAATAAATTTATATAATAAATTTATATAATTGATGATATACGATTGGTAATATTAAGATGAAACATTAACAAACTTATAACAATAAAGTCATATCATAACCATTAGAAAATACTCTATCTGTTTCAAAATATAGATAAATCTAAATTTTTTACATATATTAAGAAAGTAATTCAATTTTTTTTTGTTTTACCCTTCAATAATGTACCATATAATATGTTTATACTAATTAATAAGCTAAGAGAATAGAGATTATAAAAAGATATCAAACATTTGCATTGAAAACTAAAAAAAACTTATATTTTAAATTAAAAAATTAATTTTGAAACGATTTATATTTTAAAATGGAAAAAGTATAATATAGGTCATTTTAAGTTGTTGCACATAAATTAAAAAAAAACAGTTTAATTTTCTATTTTATCCTTCATCTATTATATTAAAACAAAAACACTTTTAGTACTTGCTTCCAAACAGTCCTAAAACTTTTTTTTTAAAAAAATATTTAGAAAAAATTTAAAATTATCTTAATTTATTGTAATATTATTTTAAAACCATATTTTCTTTTATATGTAAACTGATTTCCGAAAATTAGATATTAATTTAGATAATTAAAGATTCCTTAAATATAGGTTATTAATTCAAACTATTTTTTGTAGTTAAATTTAATTCTGAAAAATAGATATTACTTTAAATTACTTTAAACTTCCTTAAATATATGTTAGATTTAATTTAATTTTTGAAGTTTAAATAATATTTTCAGAATAACACATATGATTAATGAATACTTTATTATATTTTTTAAGCATATTCAATTACACTAAAATTTTACATATTGAAAACTGATAAATATAAATATTATATAATGATTTGATGGAACGAGTTAGATTTTTTTATAATTGTGATCTTATGCGGGTTGAGATAAAAATTATTTTCAAAATTAATAAATATTTATATTATATAATGATATGACCGTAGAGGTTAGAATTATGGTTTTATAACTACGGTTCTTTTTGGATTAATATAATGAACAAGTTAGATTTTTTTTTTATAAAAACAGTCATTTTTTTATTAATAAAATGACCGGATTAGAATTATGTTTTTATGATTGTGATCAAAATAATATTAAATTTAAAAAAAAAAACAAATTATGTCTAAATACAAAAATAAATCTGTGTCATTTAACAGAAAAATTATATCTATAAAGAAAACATATATTACATTATAAATTTTGATTAAAAATAATTCTTGTGCGGATGCACGGAGTAAAAATCTAGTTAATGTATTATATAACATGTTCATATTCATTAGTAAGCTAAGTGAATAAAGATAAAAACAAAAAAAAATTATCAAGGAACGACTTATATTTTTCTAAAAATAAATAAATCTTAAAATGATCTATATTTTAAAATAGAAAAATATATAAATAACAGTAAAAAGTAAACGATGATACTCTTTCAATTTTTCTTTTAACTTACGGTGATATTCTTTCAATATCGCTAATTTTTTCTTGTTTTTGTGACTAGTAACCATCAAATATTTGATTTTAAAAAACTGTGGTAAAGAGTTACCACTTACCAACTAGTATATATCTAGTAATTTCGCTTTTGTTACTGTTAATTCTTCTAGTTTAAAAAAAAAAACTGTTATTAATAACTATCTAACTTCCAACAACTACCGATAGAAAAATTATCAGAGATATTTGTTTCATTTCTGGTCTGATATTTTTTTAGATCTTCTTGTGTTTGTTTTTTCATTTCTATAAAAGTACAAAACATCGTTGTTAAAGTAAATATTAAAATGAGTGTATTATGTTTCTTTGTGATATAAGGTATGTACCTTTATAAGATTTATTTACGTTACTAGAATAGAATATTGGTTGAATTTTAAACCTTAGATAAAACAGCTGTTCCAAAAATCGATTGGTTACTGCCTCTTGGTTTGCCAGTTTCTTTCTAGCCTTGTCATCGTTGTTTTCGTCAGCTAGCAAAGTTGATGTTTGCTTTGATATGGTTTTTGGTACTTAAGGATGTGTTTGAGGGCTTGTTCCTAGTTTGGCTGAGGAATTGTAAGCTTTAATTTTATGAGCACGTATAACTAGATGGTAAACACTATATTTGGTATGTGAATTGCTCCAACCGAACGGTATATGAGACGATATATTTTTGTTTTTGCCGTTTTATGAACAGTACCACACCATATTTGTTGTAATGCTGTTCATCACACTAAATATTAAAATATTATTATTTTTAGTTGTTCTATAAAATAATATAATTAGTTTATTGTTTAATCATTGATTAAATTTGTAACCAAAAATAAATATAACATTAATATTTTTGTATAAATCATTTTAGTGATACAAAAATTTAATTATAACATAATATTCATTTTCCCTCAAATAAGAATATTTTAAATATATATTTTTTTATTATTAATTACAAAAAACACTCAATATTTCTAAATTTATAAATTATACACAGATATTTACTTGTTAGTTTTAATTTTAGGCTTTATGGATATGTTCTACTAAATGTTTTAATGGTTTTATTGAACAATTTTAATATACCACACTATCTCTTTGTCTTAACTTTAATTTTTTTTAAAATTATAATTTTAATTACATAATTTAAATATTTGCTTATTAGTTATGATTTTTGGCTTTATGGATATATTGTATTAAATGTTTTAATAGTTTTAAAGAAGAACTTTGATAAAACATGTTTTAATATAAACTCTTATAAGAAATTTTATAACCTTTTATAAATAATGTTATAAACCCTTATAAGAAATCTTATAAATCTTTTTAAATAGTATTGATCAATACTTCTAAAATTTTTTTTTAAATATAATAATATAATAATAGAGAATATCAATTTTAGTGTAAAATATAGTGTTATGGTTGGAGATGAAAACGAAAGTAGAACACTAAAACACTAAATTTGGTATTATTTTTACACTAAATTTAACGTTTGGGTTGAAGATGCTCTATAATATAGTTTCGAGAGGGTTTTCTTGGGGTCGGAGATGTATTGTGATGGGTCTTCAGTATCCTTTTATCTTTCATTCTTCAATATTTTGTGATTTTGTAGTCATTAAAATTGTTTCTACTATATTTGTCTTTTCATCATTCATCATTCTTGTAACACTTTCTTTTTTTTTTTTTTTTCTTGTAACACTTTCATTCGCAATTCAATAGCAAATTTTTTTTTAAGCGCTTAAGAGTCCGTCTAGATATGTGTATTTGGGCTAATCGATCGGAAAATTGGTTCATGGAAAAGTTAAAAACATTCGTTTACTCTCAATCTAATCGGTCTATTAATTTACTTTTATTCTGAATGCTATTCAATATTATTTCTATAAACAAAAAATGAAAACATTACTTTTTTTTTCTTGGGAGACAAAATGCAACCTTTTCTTTTTGTCCCTTTTACATTTTTTTGTTTCTAGAAATTTTTAATATTAATAACCAAATAATAGCAAGTTAAAAAAAAAAGTAACGTCAAAAGAAGAGATAAAAAGAAGTAACCGTTGTAAAACATCATTGGCTGATTCTTTACGTTTGACCTCTCTCTCCTCTTCGACTGTTGTTACCCATATCACCACTCTCACACCCCTCGCGTGTCCCCACTCTCTTCATTCTCGTACAACTCCGTGCGTCACACGCGCTGATTCCAAAGCGAGTGTAGCATTTTCCCACGGTCAAAAAAAAAAACACAAGAAATCGGAATTAGTTTTGTTTTTTCTTCTTTTTCCGGAGTTAGTTTCTCTAATTTTTTTAACCTTTTGTAATTAAAGATCCATTCTTCTTTCTTTTGTACCTCCATTGATATAAATACGTGAAGCTACGCGAAAAGAGCAGGACATTGGGTCAACGACGTTTTGACCGGAAAATACGACAAAAGCACAAGGGTAAAAGAGTCATTTCATGAACTCGTTCGCATACGTATGTACGCAGGGAGAAAGAGAGATACAACTCAACCACTTTGTATATTTATAAGCCGAAGAGATAAAAGATAGAGAGAGAGAGAGTCAGAGAGATAAGGGGACCAAAAGAGAAGCTGTGTAATCCTCAAAAGAACCAAGAAAGAAAGATTATGTTTCCCGTAAGAAAAACAAAGAGAGTTTTCTACTCCGCCGGAGTAGCCGGAGACGGCGACTTTACGCCGGGAAAGAAACGACGACGATGCGTTTCTTCCATTTCTCAGGCGCCGGAAACTAAAACCGGTCCAGATTTGCTAGATTCAATCCCGGAGGATCTTGTTGTTTCTATTCTTTGTAAACTTGCCTCTACATCTCGATGTCCTGCTGATTTCATCAACGTTTTGATGACGTAAGCTTTTTTCTCCGGTTAAAAAAAATCTCTCTTCCTCGTTTACAGAGCTCTCTTGTCTGAAAAAAATTGATTTTAATTGTAACAGATGTAAGAGATTAAACAGTTTAGCTACGAATCCTCTGGTTTTGTCGAGATTGTCTCGAAAAGCTATTGCCGTAAAAGCTCAAAATTGGTCGGAATCAGCTCACCGGTTTCTCAAACGCTGCGTCGACGCCGGAAGTCTCGAAGCTTGCTACACTCTCGGAATGGTTCGTTGAATTAAAAAAAAAAAAATTCCTCTTTTTCTTCTTTTGTTAAATTTCTTCTTCTTTTTTTTTGACGTTTTTTGTTTCTTTATTTTCCCATTTTCAGATTCGGTTTTACTGTCTGCAAAACAGAGGAAACGGCGCGTCGCTAATGGCTAAAGCCGCGATTAGCTCTCACGCGCCGGCTTTATATTCACTAGCGGTGATTCAGTTCAACGGAAGCGGCGGTTCCAAGAACGATAAAGATCTCCGAGCCGGTGTGGCTCTATGCGCGCGTGCCGCGTTTCTAGGACACGTGGACGCTCTCCGTGAGCTTGGTCACTGTCTCCAAGACGGTTACGGAGTTCCTCAAAACGTCACCGAAGGCCGGAGATTCCTCGTCCAAGCCAACGCTCGTGAGCTCGCCGCCGTTATATCTTCCGGTATCGAAGCTAGGTCGTGGCTAACTCTGTCTCAGCCTCCACAAATCTCTGATTCTAATAACCAAATCCAAATCCATGGCTGTCCCTTGCTTAGCGATTTCGGATGTAATGTCCCGGCGCCGGAAACACATCCTGCGAATCGGTTTTTAGCGGATTGGTTCGCCGTACGCGGCGGAGATTGTCCCGGAGATGGGTTGAGGCTGTGTTCTCACGGCGGATGTGGACGGCCGGAGACGAGGAAACATGAGTTTCGGAGGTGTTCGGTTTGTGGTGTTGTGAATTATTGTTCGCGAGCTTGTCAAGCTCTTGATTGGAAACTCCGGCATAAGATGGATTGTGCTCCGGTGGAACAAGATGTAGCCGGTGACGGAGAAGGTAATAACGTTCAGATTGACGGAAATGGTAACGGTGATAACGGATTAGTGCCAATGAGTTAACGGCGAACAATGTAACGGCTGCTTTTAATTTAGAAACGCGAGGTGAGGATATAAAACGAAGCTTATTTAGTTTCGTTTTTGTTTTTTTTAATTAGATGAAGGATTAGGATTAAATATTACCAACGGTTAGATGGCGTTCAGGGTAAATTTTGTATTCTAATCGATTGTAAAGAAGAGTATCAATGAACGGCTATAATCTTTTTTTTTTCTCGTTGAGACTATAATTTTAGTATTTCGTTTCTTCAATAACTTCATTGGAGAGCTGATGGAACAAAAAAACTGTTACAAAAAGGAAAAAAAAAACATCGTTGGAGAGCTTATTTTTCTCAGATTTCTTCTTCGATCATCTTCTCCTTGTTGGCCCGTTTGTAGGATAGGAATTGGAATGAAATTCTATCTCACGTTCAATCTTATTCTCAAATTATATAATTGTTTGGAACAAATTGCGATTTGTTTGGTCATTAAGAGGTTTCCGAATCTATGCCACAAAAGTTAATAAAAGAATAAGATATAGGGAAGTAATGTAGGATATAATTTAATTATTGGGCAAAATCTCATAAAAGATCCAAAATCGAGTATATGATATATCATACTCCCTCCGTTTTTTAGTGTCGTCGTTTTAGAGATTCTTACACAATGGTCTATAAAACTACCAAGGTACGAACAGTTTGCATGTGTGTTTTTGGTAGTTATTAGTGGATAAGTGTCTAGAAACAATGGTCTAAGGAAATTACCATATGTTAAGCACCTTATTAGACTAAAAATGGCAAATGTCTCTCATGTTATTTTTTTTTTTGTCAACTGTCTCTCATGTTATACCAAGGAAAGTATTGGCTATGGCTCTTAGAGATAAAAAGAGAGAAAGCCAAGAAACAAAGCATGTTCATAATATTGTAACTTGCTTTTTTTCCATCGAGGAAGCATATCACTCCAATAATATCATAGCTGCTTATCCATCGAGGAAGTAGACTCCAATAGTATCGTAGCTGCTTACCCGTTGAAGAATCATATTCCGATAACATTGTAGCTGACTATCGATCTAGGAAATATGGTTAAACAAGTTCGTAGCTACTTACTCATCTTAGAAACATGCTGAAGTATGAATTAATTTTTTTTTAAAGAAAAGAATACCTATCTAAAGCGATAAAATAGAAAAGAGGAAGTACAGTGAGAAATGAGAAACAAGCCGTGATTCAATTGATGATATTCTGTCTCCGGGCAAGATCACTGTTTCAGAGTCTGCGTAGAAGAAACCACATATTTTCTGACTTTTGATTAGATCGCGTGGTCTTTTTATAATTATAGACATAACACTATTGTTTTGAGATTGCCTGAGTCAATATATTACATTAGGTTATAAATTTCTTTTGAGAAATTTGTGAATATAGTTTTAACTTGTCACGTCCCAAAGAGATTTTTTCACGTCAGAATATATATAAACTGTACAAACACTTACATTTTATTTTACCCAGAGGTTCTGGTGATTGGTACAACTGTTATGTGGCAATAGTAAACCCCTCGTCGAATATTTTTTTGTTGTTTTATGGATCGTCAAAAATAATTATTAAAATCTGTCTTCAAAATCTAAAACAATTATGGGTCAAAGGAAGTTTCATTATAGGTTTCTAATGATTTTCTGGGAAGTATCACAATGATATTGTTTGTAATAGCTTAGGTATCTTAAGACAAAAGTTAGTGTATGGTTTCTTAAATATATTGTTTCAATCATAGTATGCATAGTCCATAAACACCCATATATCATATATACATTATATTATTCGGTATAGAATCAGTTGCTTTTTAGATAGTATGTTTTTACAGTTTGTCTACCTGCTCTTTGCTGGAAACATAAATAATTTGATTTTTTTTTTATCAAGGTTTTTTAAGTTTTAATATTCTGAGAAAGGATGAATATTTATGTTTATGCTTTAAATATGCAAAAAATGTATAAATTGGAATAGGGTGAATATTTAGAACACTTTTTATTTCTTTCTTTTTTTAAAAAAAAATGAACTTGCGTAGATACTGATCACTAACCATAATCTCTAGATGGTTGGCATTTTGATCACTAACTACTAATTAACTAGGGATATTTAATTTTTGAGCACACCTAATTCAAGGGGTACTAGATCCGCACGACAATAATTATATATAGACACATGAACGTGTCTTTGATAATTGAGATTTAGCTTTTAAGGTAAAGTTGTATCTTAAAATTTAATATTGTAGATACTCATACCAGCAGGCAGCAAGTTAATAATAGTAAGTAGTGACTAAATTATAACTTTAACTCTTTAAGATTAGTTAATGGGTGACAAACCATCATGGGTAATGCGATCTATAGCTCTCTTTTCTTCAAATAGTATTTGTGCCTCTTTTTATTTTACCAATTAAATTAGGGAGACCGGGAAACACTCACACAGCAAAACAAAAGATGCGATTAGCCGAAGCACAACGTATGATTTGAATAAATGTGGACCCTCTTTGATACGTTATTGTCTCCACAACCACGATATTAGCATAAACAAGTCTTTGATTTTATTGGCCCATCATCATTAGTTTACACTTTACAGTTTGCGTTCAAAATCATTATTGCATATATTCTTTTACTACTAAACAAAATCTGTTAATAGACTTTAAAATGTTCCTTTCGTATACATAACTAAATCTCCCAGTATGTATTTTAGACGAAATTCGTAGATTAATTAAAACCAAATGAACATAACAATATACATTTATAAGAACTTTTATGATGACGTATCCTCCAATGATTTTATTGTCGAATAACATTAGAGAAAAAACCAAATTAAGGAGGAACATAGAGGAGTGTGTTAGTAGGAGAGAAGAGAAAATTTGTGGGGAGTGGGCTTCTAAAAGCTTTATACCCACCCACACACAAAGCATTCTAGTCTAAAAGTCTTTACCAAATAAAATAAAGTGTAAAACTGAAAACTAAGAAACAAAAATTGAAGCAATGCTACTAACCGGAAAGAAATTTTTTTAACGTAACCAATATATTTTCCAATTGTCACAGCGAAACGGATAACTATCAACAGAAGATTGAGAACTAGAAGAACAACTATAAAATCAAGTATGGTTGGTTAATGCGCAACCGAGTCAACCGAACATAACACGAGGATGGCTTCGGTATTTTTGCTTTGAGTACTCCTGCCTTCATTTATATTGGCTGAATCGTTCTTGAAGCACGAACCATTAGTCAAGTTCTTAAGAGCATCTCCAATGGTTGAGACCCATTGGAGTTCTTGATTTTTTTTAATTATTTGTTTGAGTTACATACACCTATATATATATGGAAGAGATTTTCTGTTTTTAAGCCTCCAATGGGAGATTCTTCTTTAGGAGTTGTTAAAAAAAAATTGTAATAATCTAAAATGTTAAAATGTTATAATTAAAAATTATTTCATTAATTTAAATTACAAACATACAGTACATACATAATCTAGCAGCATTAATCACACAGCAGTAACCATTTTTTCACTTTCTATCTATAACCTAACAGTACAAAGCATTGAAACCATATCTGTTCAACAAGCTCTAAACCATCAATCATACACCAATATCAGCAATAACATGAATCAATATCTATCATCATAAACCAATCCATATCTATGCAACCGTAAATTACAAAAGAAAAAAAAACAGGATTCATAAAAGAAGTTATTTACCTGAAGAAACATTGGTATGTACGATCTTTCTACTTCCAGCAATAGCAGAGTTCTTGTCCTGCGTTTCATAAAGAAGTGTGGCGTGAGATAACAAAAGTTTTATACAGTTGATATCAAAAGGAAAAGTTTCAATTAATATAGTACCAGCAATCAAACGAATAGTAGCATTGTTTCCTACGGTTGGATCTGCCAACCATTCCTTCAAGCTTGAAATGGTTGATTCCTGACCAAAATCACAGATACAAATATGTATTCAACAATGCATATCACAAACATACGACGATGATAAATTGAATTTCTGATTCCTAAGCAAAGTTCTCGGAAATTCCGCTAAGCTAACGTTACTGAGCACGAATCGATGCGATTTGCATTATTGATCATCTCCGAATTGGAAAAGGAAAATTAGAAAACTGAAACATCTCAAATTCTCTGGAAATACCTTATTTTCAGGACTCGATAGATACATAGCAAGGAGCTTGACTGCCTGCAGAGGAGTAGCGGACGCTTCGTCGATCTCATTGATGACAAGCTACCAAAACAAAATTTGAAAAATATTACAACTCAGGATCGAAACAAAGAGGAATCGAATCGGAAGAAGAAGACATCACAGAGGCGAACCTAGTAGCTACCGAGAGCGATGTAAGAGCGGTGGACAAGGCAATCGCCGTTGTTGATCCTCCTGCGAAAGATTAGGGATCTCGCTGTTGTTGATCGCCGCTTGAAACGCACCCAGGTAAAAGTGGTTTCGATTTCTTCGAAGAAGTGCAAAATTTTGTATCGGGTAGAGTTTGAGAGAAACTGATTTTCTGAGTGAAAAATAAAAATAAAAAATAATTCTTATTGCTTCCACCAAACAGATTATGACACGTATGGAGTTGTTCATGGGTCTTTAAATCTCTTCACCAAGGAGCGGTTATTGAGCTTTATTACCTTTAATCTTTATTTTTAATCTTAAAATGGGTTTAGAACTCTCTAACAACCTCCCATTGGAGGTGGTCTAATGGTCGGGCTGAGTAGGGCCGGTTTATCTTGCAACCCATCTCTAAATGAAATGCGGTTCATACCTAAAACCCCAACGCAGTAGTACATATGCACTCTTTCCTTTTCTTAAAACCTATGTTCTTGTGTATGACCAAAAAAGACCTATGTTCTTGAAGACGTATGTATGTAGACAAATATGATGTTTTGGACCAAAAAGCTTTCAATTTACTTGGTAGAACTTCTTTTGAATCACCTGCCAACGTTGACTCATTTAATAATAAGTAGATTCTATTGCAATCAATTAAAACTACTTGTGGACCATTTCTGTTCATTTACCTTCTTTTTATTTTGCGGGGGTCAGGTAATAAATGTAGCAGTTTAATTGAAATTTGAATGATTTAAATCAAAATAAAGTTGAGGGTGGGGGTGGTCCAAGAGACCCAGCCCATTTATTGAATTGGTTAGAGTTGCCCACTTTAGTCCAACCTATGTGAATTTGCTTAGATTTTTAGGTAGATCTTACATGTTGCATGGCCAGAAAGTAAATTATTGGTTACCAAACCTTGGTTTTTATATCGTCGTCCTCAGAAATCTGAATATTTTTTTTTGGTTCAAACATCTTTAGACATTTTTTTGAACACCATTCAAACATCTTTAGACAGGAAATGATTCGAATGCATGATTGTATTTCCTAAAGTGCTTCGGTTTTTGGTTTATTTTTCTTTTCTTGGATAATTCTGGTTTTAAAGTTTTTTCTAATCAAATTAGAAGTAGATATCCATTATGCTAGAGTTTAATATCATCTCTAGAAATCAAGGTCGATCTCCTAGTTTGTAAGACACGACGATTTATATTGATTCAGTAAAGAGATTTTTATGTTCTTCATTCTAATTACGGTAGAGCTAGAGAGTTTTCATTTTTATATATACAAATTTTTTGGTAGCATCTTGTTGTGAGTCAATTTTTTTTTTTTTTTTTATAGTTTCCAGTCGTAATTGCGTTGTTTTGTTATGGCTAAATAGTTAGTTTATAAGTAAAGACTCATAACATAGAAATAATGAGCTAACAAATATTCACTCATATCTGTGTGGAGTCCAATATATTTAATGCAATTGATTGGTTTGTTTACATTTCTAATTTTTGTTTTGTTTTGTGTTAGCTTTGATAGATTATGTATATTGGCTAATTGTCATCTTCCATGTACTATGGTATAATAGTAATGATGTCCATCAACATGAAGGTGATGAAACAGCAGGAAAGACTGAGAAGTAGAAATATCAATACTGCTCCAAAGATCAAGCATTTTCTTTGGAAAATGATGTCAAGTGCTATACCAATCGGGGACAACTTGAAGAGACGCCACATTATTCGACAATCAATCTGCCCAAGATGTCTAATTGCAGAAGAATCAGCTAATCATTTGTTCTTTGAATGCTCTTATGCTCAACAGATTTGGAGAGCATCTGGTTTTCCTAACAGACATGTCATCGCTGGGGGAATACCTTTTGAAACAAGAATTGAAGCCATTCTCAAAAAGGGTGATCTAATGCCCCATAAAGTTCATCATTATGCCATTTGGTTATTATGGAGGATTTGGAAGAGTCGCAATACAATGGTTTTTCAAAGGAAGCTTATTCCATGGAGAAAAACATTGCAGCTCGCAGAAACTGATGCTAAGGAATGGTTAGACATCCATCATTTAGTGGACAGATACAATCAGCAAAATGTCTCCATCAACAACTCTCAACAACAAATGCGAACAGATTCATGGCGTCGACCACGAAGAGATTGGATAAAATGCAACTATGATGGTTCCTACATCAAAGAAAACAGATATGCAAAAGCGGGCTGGATTTTACGTAATGGTGAAGGTAAATTCTTGGGAGCAGGACAAGCGGAAAGTAAAGCAGCACAATCTCCTTTAGAGAGCGAAGCTCAAGCTCTTTTAATGGCTATGCAAAATTGTTGGTCAAAGGGTTATAAACAAGTCATTTTTGAAGGAGATTGCAAGAATTTGACAAGTCTCATTAACAAGGAATCGCTTAACTTTGGCAGTCATAATTGGATTCGTGAGATTTGAGAATGGAACAAGAAGTTTGAGAATGTTGAATTTTTATGGACGAACAGAGAGAACAACAAAGCTGCAGATCTACTAGGAAAATCCTTTCTTCCAGTTCATCGTTCTTATATTTTCCATTTTTTCGTTCCGTCTGCTATTACAAATGTATTACACTCTGATTACTGTAGCTTCTTATAATTAATAAAAGAAGTTAAAAAAAAAAGAAATATCAGGCTATACGTTATCTTTATTAATAGTTCATGTAAAAAGAAGGTGAAAACAACCGAACTTCATGTTTTTCAGAAAATATATAGATAAAATTATAAATAAAAAGTTTTTTTATGTAGGTTATAATAACTAATTTTAACTAAAATATTTAGATCCAGTGAATTTGGTGGTTGATACATTCAAATGAATATCAAAACAGTTGTTGGAAGCTTCTTCAAACTCTTTATCACCACACTCAACGTTTGTCTTTGGTCACTTTTGCAATGTTTTGTTGGATAAAAAATAGTCATTTTTCGATTATCCATTGGCTTTTTTTTAGGGAAAATTGAAACTAAATGCTTCTAAGGGTATCCACATAGGATTTAAAAGGTTAATTTTATTGGTCCACATCAGCATTCAAAATTAAGGAAAATTTATAAATTCTAATATTATTGTTAATAAAATATATATAAAAGAGTAAAAAAATTATGTATTAAAGGGTGTCCACATAGGATTAAAAAATATAATTTTATTGGTCCACATCAATATTCAAAATTAAAGAAAGTTTACAAATTCTAATATTATTGCTGAATAAAGAAATTAAGAAAATTTACAAATTCTAATATTCTTACTGAATAAATATTTTTTTATAATTTTTTTTATTTGTCCACCTCAACATTGAAAATTAAAAAAATTTCAAATTATACTATTGTTTTTAAAAATTATTGAAGAAAAAGAAATTATATATAAAATTTATATTAATAATAACAACTAAAATACATAATATTAAAATAGGAAATTTAATATTTAAATTAGAGGTATAAACACATATTTAGAGACTCTTACATTAACATTCAATTTTTTGTCACATAACTATAATATGTTTTAATTTTTTTTCTGTGTGTGCAACCATTTCAAATACACAAAACAAAAAAATACAGTTAAGTTTCAATAAAAAATAAGTCATTACAACGTAAAAGAACCAACTTGACTAAATTATATGTTTAACTATAATGAAAAGAGATATAAACAAAGCTATTACAAGCCGCTTTAATATCGAAAAAGAGACCAAAAAATCTACAAAGATTGGCCACCGAATTTGAGAAGAATGATAAATTTCAAGCAATCCGAGAAACATGTTAAGTTATTGATACTCAAAACTTTTGAAAAATGAAGCATTGAAAATAGAGAAAGAGTTTTCGTCATTAAGACAAAGAAGTTTGAGGTATCTGAAGAAGATTTTTGAAATAAGATGGCATATGATGGAGTTTTAGTAACCTAACATTAACCACAAAGGTAATAATTAGCTGACCAATCAGCATCCGAATACATTCGGTAAGCCTCAAAACAAGAAGGCGAGACCAAAATCATGACACTTTTGAAAAACGAAGCACTGAAAATAGAGAAAGAAGTTCTGTCATTAAGACGAAGATTGAGGTATCCGAAGAAGTTTTTTGAAATAACATGGCATCTGATGGGGTTTTAACAACCTAACATTAACCAAAAATATAATAATTAGCAGACCAAGCAGCATCCGAATACATTCGGTAAGCCTCAAAACAAAGAGAGACCACAATCACTTTGCTTCTTGTGGGATCTTCCAGCTTTGATTTCTACATCTATTATTAAAAAAGTAAAAGCTATATGCTTATAAGAATGTCCAAATATGATTTAAAAATTCAATTTTATTGGTCCACATCAATATTTAAAATTAAAAAATTTTCCAAAATTTAAAATTTATATGGTTAACAAAAAATATATTTATAGAAAAATAAAATCGTAGCTATATACCTCTAAGAACATCCACATAAGATTTAAATGGTTAATTTTATTAGTGTACATCAATAACTAAAATTAAAAAGTTCTAAATTATTAAATTACATTGTTAATACAAAACAATATAGGAAAAATTGTTAATTAAAATTATTCTATTATTAATAATAGTTAAAGCTATATTGTTTTCAAGGCATTCATATCAGTATTTAAAAATTAAATTTTATTTGTGTATATCAAAACTTTAATTTTTTTAAAAAAAATTCTAAATCTATTAAGAAAAAAATTAAAGAATAAAGAAATCTCTATTAATTAAAAAAATAACATGATATTAAAATCTTCATTATTAATGTTTAAGTTATAAATTTATATTATTATCTATAAAAATATATGCTACTTATACAAGTTTAGATTACTTGATTTTAAGGTTTTCACGTAGAAATTTAAATAACTAATAATTATAATTTATATTAATTAAATTTTTTTTACATATGCAAAACATATTTCCACATAATCTCATGTAATATATTATGCGAAAATGCTCGAAAAAAATACATCTTGTATATTCGACTTGGAATTGCAATGATTAATGTAGAAGTTTTGAGTTGTTCAATTTGTTATTTCATTTTTCTAGGTCTCTATGTATTAAATTGTACCAGCTTTGCCTACTTAATTATAATTACAAGAAATAAGAATGAATATGATGAAACTGAATATAATAGAAATAAGAATGAATATGATGAAACTGAATATAATCATACAAAAAGAATTAAAATAAATAAATATGATATATTTGTTGAAAAAACAGATATAACAAGAATAAAAATGAACATAATGAAAAAAA